AAGCGACCCCCTCGGTGCCGCAAGCCTCGTTGGATCGATTCAGAAGAGGAGGTTCACATTCGGTCAGCCTTCAAAGACCATTCAAAGAAAGGCTGACCTGGTTTTGCGGTCCAAACATTTCTTAGTAAAAGTAAAGGCATAGTAAAACCCATGGTCGTTGGTTAAGACTGGACCCTTGAATCAAGGAGGAATCCCCGGATTCCGCACAGGGATATTCTTGACACCTGCGTCATCCACTCAGGTCCAAGTACATTCACTCGCATCTTCCCTCAAGATCCCTCACCCCGGACACAGCCAGGTTATCGGGTTGGTCGCTCCGGAGCGGTGCTTTGGCCCCCAAAGCGCCGCACCCCACAAATTCATACTACCATAACTATATAATCAAATGTCAATCCAATACCACCCCCCAAGAACAATAGTCCCAAGCAAGGAAGGACATCCACAAGAGACATTGCTTGCCAAAAGGCCAGAAACGACTCATTCTAAGTTCTTTGGACTAACTGCCCCACTACCAAGGGCTGGCATCTACTGAGTCAGAACCCACCGGCAAGAAATTGCAGAATCCACGAACTCCCCTAGAACTTTCAATGACTCCTTTTCCCCCGCTTTTTAAGGAACATGTCCTCAATTTGGGACCCTCGCTTGGATGCATAAAGACATGCAGAATACAGTACATCCAAAGTCAGTCCATTGAGGCCACCTCCTCCGGCCCCCAGAACCATAGAGTAGGCAATTGGGCCCATCCCATGGATTTCTCTCGCAGTCCATGCCGGTCCCTGCAACAACCGGTCCCTGCACATCCCCCCCCGAGGAGAGCGGAGGCAGCCGAAGGGCTGCGGGACATCCAGAGGTTTCTTGCAACTGCACCTGTGCAGGAACTGCCCTTCATGACAAAACACTCCGAGAAATGCAGGGACCCAAATTATTGAGGAAGATCTGGCGAATGCAAAGGTCAAATTGCATCTCTTGGGCTCTTGGAAAAACTATCTACCCTCGCCAGGGGACACTTCCTTCAACATCATTACCCTGCCTGCAACAAAAATGGAAGTGCACAACAGAGGAAGAATTGCTGTCTTTTTTTCCCAGGGGCCAGGAGGTCCACGAAACCGTGATTCTTTCGGGAAGAGTCAACCCTGAGAGCGGTTGATCCGCTCCAATCGTCTCATGTCATGGTTCAAGTTCCCCATGCGGAGGGGGGGTTCTCTTTCGTCTCAGTCTCAAGCCGCATGAGGCGAAAGCGGGGCCCTGACGGGGCAAGAACCTAAGCTGGTTCTCTTGGGGCAAGAAGGTGGTCTTTCTGCTTCTGGGGGCAGCCACAAGAGTCACACTGCCTTGTGAATGTCACATTGTTGGGACTCTGTAGCCGAGCCTCTTTTTGGGGTCGCGACGTGTATGTTGGCTCAACACAAAGGCGGGTACTTCTTGTCAACAGTTTGCAGCTCCTTGCAAGTGGATAGAAAATGCACCCCTGAATCTGATCCAGATCTTAGATTAAATTTCTCAGCCCTCCCCGATCTCAGGAACACTGTGTTGTGAAATGGAAGTATACGTCTCCTGCCTGGACTCTCCCAGTCGCACCCTAGAGGCGAACGAAAATGGGACATGGTGACATGGCCCCGTGAACCCGTTGTCCAAGGCATTTACTTGATTAATTTGATTAACTTGGATAGTCAAGTCTACATCGTCCGCTCAGCCACCACCTGGTCCGACACCGCGCCGATGGCGCCGCGCCGACCGGGCGTCGCCGCGGCGGCCACGAGGCAAAGGAGGAGCGCGGCCGGGGCAGCGCAAAGCAGGAGCCGCGTCGGCCACCATCTGGTAGATGCAATGGATGCAGGTTCCTAAATGGCAAGCTTGGGGAACTCATGAAACAGAGTTTGGGGCCGGAAAGGCCGCTGTGAAGCAGTATGTCTGTGTTCAAGCCAGATTATCTTTGAGTGCCTCAGAGGCTTGGGATCTGTATCATAACAGGTGCAAACAAAGTTTGATAAAACGACGCAGGTTGTGTGTGTGTCACCCCCTGTACCAAAGGGTTTGATACCACAGTTCCCACTACAACCACCCAACAAGGCAGGGGAACTGGGCACTCTGTGACTGACCCAGTTCAACGAAGCTAGGTCACAGAGTGGGATATTCGGACTGATCATCCGAACGTACCTGCGCCAGGTTTGAACTTTTGACCAAGCCGTTCCAATCTCTCTCTTTTGCTTTCATGGTGGTTCCACGCTACCTCCCCTAAACCTTTTCCCACCGCAGACCTGCAGCCGCTTTGCCGCTGTGCGCTTTCCGCAGTCAAGTGCGAAAACCATTTTGTTGAAACACCTACACTTTCCTGGACTTTTCGCCATGCAGTTCTCTCACCTTTTTTCACCTGGGAATTGAGTGTAACTGAATACCAATGTCAGAGTGTGTTTCGCTCAGCCGTCCCACTCGGGTGCTGAGTGTGATCCCCGTCACTGGGGCGCTGAATTCATGCCGGAAATCGTGTAACTGAGCTTTTCCACCTTCACCGGAATTCACCACTCGATCCACCCTAACTGAATTTACTGCTTCCACGGCCGCCGGGCCAAAAAACGGACTTAACAAGCCGCCGGGCTTAAAAACGGAATTCACCCCACTTCAGAGGCAGGTCTCCCTACCCCCCCCCCACCGTGTTCTACTCCCTACCTAATTAGGGTAACACAGGGAAATGGTACTCGACACACTTGTGTGTCGGTGCCTTTCCCTCTGTTGTCCCTTTCTAGTCTACTCTACCCGGGCGGTTTAAGACTAAAGTCCCGCTCCCTAACTATTGCACTGTCATTCGTCTCGGCTAAGTAGTCAGTAATCCTAGAGTGCTAAGTATTCAGACACACACATGGACATACACCCCCTCCCTCCCCCCCCTTTCTTTCTTGCGCTTTCCGTCGTTTGTTGGGCTTTCTCTCAGGCTTTTTAGGTTGCTCTTGAGGTTCGATTCCCTACCCCAGTCAAGGGCTAAGTATTCATGTTCTTTTTTCTTTTTTCTACTCCTATCTTTCTCTCTTGCCCTCTTAGCGCTGCTCTTTCTGTGTTTCTTTCTTTTGTTTCTAAGGCTTTTTAGGTATCTATTCAGGCTTTCCACGCGAGCGCCGCCAAGCGGCGCCGTGTGTGTGTCACCCCTGTACCAAAGGGTTTGATACCACAGTTCCCACTACAAACACCCAACAAGGCAGGGGAACTGGGCACTCTGTGACTGACCCAGTTC